TGCACGGATGCTAATGTCCATTGAAAATCCCTTTGAAACATTAATGAAACCTGCGGACCGAATACAGTATCCTGCTTTATGACAAACATTGGTTTAAACATCTGTCGCCCGAAAGAACTATTGAAATGTTGTTTAGGCTCAAGTGTTCGTCAGCAAATTGTTCTACAGCATAACATCATTTTCAGATGTCCGGACATCGAATGTCTTACTATGTGACAGACAGGTTCAGATCTGTAAAATGGATGTGCACACAGCAATGGGGTTCTGGAACCAGGACATGGCCAAACTTTAGTATAACTGCCGATGGCTACGACCAGGATAAAGTTCAGTGGTAAACGAGGACCCAGAACTTTCTGCCAGAGTTTACAGCCGATGAACGTGAACAAAAAGAACTACATTCTGGAAAGACCACATTTAAATAAGATGATACATTTTCAAGCACTACAAATAACAAAAGAAAAAAGACATTTTACTTATTTGATTGATTGATTGATTGATTGATTGATCATTAGTTGATTGATTGACTGATCGTTAGTTGTCCTACTGTAAGACAAAAAGGTTCAAATGTCCGTTAAAGCTGATCCGGCTCGTCAGAATGACGGCATAATAAGGGAAGTCGTGCCACATGTAAGCATTTCCTATACTGCCTGTAACGTTGTGGTGCAATTACGTTAAAAATATCTAACATGCCGAAGAAGATTTTGTCCATCTGTGTGGTCATGTAAGTCCTCGATCTGCGGGCTACTTCGTGTTGAGCTCTAAAGGGCGTGATGACATACGAATGTAAAGTTATGTAGTCGTATTCAGGATGTGACAATTCCTTGGGCGAGCCCAGGACCAGAGCGTCATGTGTTGGTTATGTATTGATGGAAACCGTAGGATGGCATAGAATGCAAACGTTCTACCCCTGCCTTGCGTCGATGGCCGCGTCCTTAGTCGTATAGGACTGAAGGTCATACCTGGCTGTTGTAGCAGTTACGGGTGCCCCAATTATAGTTTTTTCGAAGGTTGGCCGGGGTATCTGCGATTTGTCTGGTTGGTCTACTGTTAAGATGATATTGCTCAATCTCAGGAGGGTATGGTAAACCTTTAAGTAGCAACCCAGAAGAGACATGTTGACTGATGGGGAAGCCAGTCTGGGCATGGCTGTTCTGAACGGTTTCTCTTGGGGGGGGGGGGGGGGGGGGGTGGGGGAGGTTGACACCTGTAAATAAAGGGATAAAGAAAAAACCAGACAAATAAAGCTACGCCATGTCTTATGAAACCAACCGGGAAGACTAACCATGTGAACAAATACCTGATGAAGGCTGTGTGGGGCGAAAGGCGCAAATATCGTAGCTATGATGTAAACCTTAAAGAGGCACAACGTATTTCGACAAGGTACATCACTCGGACCATACAATTAGAGGATAGAGATAATTTATCACATAAATCCAAATTTTGCATGTAGTAGTTGTGATGGTGAAGAAGAATTAAAAAGGAACCGATAGGGAAAGAAAATAATGAACTTGAGCTACACACAGAGTGAAGCATTTATTGACCAGTCTACACACAGAGAGAAGCATTCATTGACCAGTGCATGCAAAGAATAGAAGAATTAAGTGGTATCAAGGGATCATCAATGTGGAGTTGTATGAGTGAACTAGAAATTAATCAAATAAAATAAACAAATTGATGTCAGGATCCTATAATACTGTGGTTCGTTATCCACATTGGACATTTAAAAGCCTGTTCTCGTGGTTTCGGACAATTGCATGAGAGTCGCACCACGTTCCCAAAGACATCACTGCAGCCAACCTTTATTGTGGAGACGACACATATTTGTTTTTTCAACAAATTCCAGAGAAATTTTAAAATAAGGAAATAAATGGGGAGGGTGGGGGGACAGCCACAAAACCCTAAAATAACTAGAATGTAAATAATATGAGCAATACATACACGGCCACATAACAAACTTCCATACAATTAGAGGATAGAGATAATTTATCACATAAATCCAAATTTTGCATGTAGTAGTTGTGTAGACGTGGTGAAACATCTGATTGGTTCGAGGTGCAAAAGGGGGGTGAGGCAGGGGTGCATTCTCTCACCATACCTATTTAATATATACGCAGAAAATTTAATGAAAAATGTCAAAAATGACCAGACTTGTGACAGTTATGATCCATTCAAAATTTGTTGCAACCCTATTCCGGAATTCCGCTACGCAGATGACAGTCCTGCTTTCGAACAGCGTAAAGGGAATAGCAAATTTAATATTGTCTGTCCAAAAACACAGCGAAGATCAAAATCTGTTCTTGAATTTAAGGAAAACGAAAATTATGTCCATAGATAAAACTGGCTGTCACCCAAAAAGAACAATAAATGATGAAGAAATTGAAAATGTCACAAACTCTGAATATCTAGGCTCTATAATAAACAGCAATGGAGACTTTTCGACAGAAATTGAAAGGAGGATGGCCATAGCAATGCAAAGATTGAACAGCCTTAAAAGTCTATGGTTAAGCACCAGCAAGGAAACAAAAATTAGAATTTTGAGAGCATGTATCTTCCGTGTGGCTACACACGGATGTGAGTCGTGGACTATCTCTCAGTCCTTAAGAAAAAGAATAGGGGCTTTTGAGCTGAAATGTTATAGAAAGATTCTCATAATATCTTGGGCAAAGAAGATGAGAAATATTGACATCTTAAAAGATCTGAACATCAAGGAAGATTGGCTAATAAACAGCATCTTTTCTCGAAAGCTGAAATATTTTGGTCATGTCAAGCGCCACGACGGATTAGAAACAATTATAGCAGAAGGCATGGTACCAGGAAGGAGGGGCAGAGGCCGACCGACACGAAGATGGGCACAGGATATAAGTGACTCCTTGAGTGTGAAAGTGCATGAGGCGGGAGAACTAGCTAGACACCGAGTTTCTTTCAGGCAGACTGTGATGAGAGCAACGTTCTGCAAAGGACCTGCTACATGATGAGATGAGTTGTGGCAGCAGCATGATGACGGGTTAGCTGCAGCGACAGAAACACTTCTAGTAATCGTAGTATTTAAGAGGAGTCGAGTCAGTCAACAGGGGAAACAGTAGAAGTGGTAGCAGATGTATTTAAAATTAAGCAGTTCAACCCTTCTGGTCTATAAAATTGGCACATATATATATATATATATATATATATATATATATATATATATATATATATATATATATATATATAAAATTCTTATACCGCCTTCTGGCGGACTTCCAGTCTCTTGGTCAAGGCTGTCGTTGTTTCACATCCGGTTCACGTCAGGTTTGTGTAGCCAGGCACTCTTGTCCCGATGTCGTCTGCGGGAACCCTTAACTGTTTCTTTGGTTTAATTTCTCTTATTGTGTTGCTGGAAGCCTTTTCCTTGACATTCGCTGGAAGCAAATATGTGCATTTATGTGGTAAATAACCACGTTGTGATATAGGGACGTAAATCCGTTGCTGAATCAGTAAACATTAAAGACGAAAAAACATGAAAATAAAAAACGGATTAAGAATGGCCAGCACACAGGTAACAACATCAGTTTCGTCATTGTTTTGTCATTGCAAGATGCACCGTTGATATCAGATTCTTTAACTTATGGACATTGATTGCTACATTTAGAACAAAAACATTTCGAAACGTAGAAATCTAGTAACTAACATAGGGCGCATTATGTCATTAATAGTAAAAGAATACAATTGATTAAACTTAAATAATTTACCCTAAACATTAAAATATAACCAGTGAGATTAATTACTGAGATGAATTTTACCTGCCTCTAGACAACATAAGTAATGTATTTTAGGGGGCAGTCATTTGCCTCTATTTCCAGGGATTTTGTTAAAAAAAATTTTTTTCTCTCCTTTAAATAAGTCGCTAGCTGGAAGGCGACGGTCACTTAGTCGGAGTTTACTCCCTTGGCTGCAGTGCAAATACGGAGTGGTACAGAGGGAACGAAACAAATGATATAGTTACCTGTCATCCTAGGGTTAGGATTAGGGCTTTGGTTAGGATTTGGGGTAGGGTTAGGGGTTAGGATTTGGGGTAGGGGTAGGGTTTGGGATAGGTTTAGGATTTGGGGTAGGGTTAGGGTGACACATCACGGACACAACGGAAGCTTATCGCTCATTATGACATACAGATCAGCAGGTCTCACATCTACGGTCACTAAATCGTGGTCGGAAAAACGCTGTCGCTAATGTGAGTCACAGCACGTGATCTACGAGAGTCTTGTGTCGCAAGACCACGGTCGCTACTGTCAGTTGCAGCGCGTGGTCTAGCTCTAGCAGTCATGTCGACCTCACTGTGTGTTTTGAATCGTGACTTGTCCGCTCCGCATTTGCACTGCAGCCAAGGGAGTGAACTCCGACTAAGCGGCCGTTGCCTTCCAGCTAGCGACCGTTATTTAAAGGAGAGCCAAAAAATTTCATGTTGACTAGATAATAAGATATGCAATGCACATCTCCTGGATAGTTACGGTTATTTTGATTTTTCCTCTGGGTATGCAGGTGTGTTGGGAAATGACCATGTCGGCTGGTGCTGCACCACTGGATGTTGACTTTATGCCTGACAAACTAGACGTGGTCAAGGCTCTTTGGGAGCAAGTAAACTGTGCAGAAGCATTGCGGTGCTGATAGAATGGTGCAGCAGGCAGTGACCAGGGCATCTGACCAACACTCTACGCTCAGAGGATAGGCAAGATGGACATATAATCAAAACTGATACGTGTACCATCAGAACTGGCACTCTTCTCTGGCTGCTAAAGATGAGGATTAGTCACATTAGGATGTCCGTAATCCAGTGATCTCGGTTCTTGACTCAGCTCATGTTAGATAAAAACGCTTTCACCTGTATTTGTTTAATAAACTGAAGGTTTACAATTTTGTCAAATAACGCTGTTCTTTTTCAGCCACCAGAACTTCAGATTACTTAGAAAAAGTTATACAAGCAATTTTGGAGACAAAGGAGGCAACTGCCAAGATATTTATGGAACATGAGAAAAATGTTGCCTGGTATTGGTGTGTTCGGCAATACTGCCGCCATGAGGTAACATTTTAATTTGTTTCTTATCTTGTCTCATTTTATCAACAGCCAGATACATAATGCACTAATGAAGAAAATAATATCTAAATCAAGGCAGCCATTAGAACTCATTGGAACACTTCCTACCAGAACACAATCCTGAAGACCCAAACACATTCTCGCATGAAAGAAATAGACCATCGACTGTGACCTGGACACAACAGACTCCACAACCATATGTAAAGGAAATTTGACTCTTTGAGTCCCAGGGAATGCATCATATGTTCATACGTAGAAGCCCAATGAACACATGATGCGTCACTTTTTTGCTCTCTTTACTACCATTGGGCCTGTGATGCTAAACCCCCCTGGGTCTCAAAGAGTTAAGATTAGGGACTCAGAATATTGTCCATGTGTATAGGCACCACAAAATACTGGAGCTTTACTGGAGACATACTTTCTGCAGGATGTAGGGAGAACCCAGCTCTAGAAGACCAGCAATATGTATCAGTAGAGGGCATGCCTCAGATCAAAAACTTTCCAGACAGAAAGCTGTCAAAAATCTTCTCTCATTGATTATCCTCCTTTTTCCTTAAATCTTTCTAATTGTCAAAACATGTTCAAGATTTCTCTTCATTTAATGTGGTTCAAAAATACTGTACAGTTCCTTCAAAGTTAGAAGACGACTGCCTGAGAGGCAGGGAGCCATCATCTGCACAAAGTTAGCTAGATCTGGAACAAGATCGAAGTCTAGACACAAATGACCAACTTGGACTTTACTAGAGCTCACAGCTGGTGAATACAAGAGGAGGAGGTCTTCACATAAGCCTGTTCTCTATGTGACTTTTTTTTGGTCAAGCTTCCCGTTTGTTTCTTTGTGATAGTTCAGTCATTCTTTCTATCGACTCATCATCAGTCACCCTTTATTTCTAATGCGTCATTCCACTTCACCGTAACAGTTTTCATCCCTTTGTAGAATCCAGGGTCCAATAAAGGTAGGAAAAAAAAAATAGACCCACTGTGCCCCTCTCACCCTTTTCACAAGCATGTCATAAAGGTAACTAATTAGTGGTTTGCTTAAACTGGATCTGTTGCTCAAAAGGTGCAGATATAGAAGTCTAGCTGTAAATCACAACACATTGTGCCAAACATTCTATAAAGCACTGGCTGTCAACCTTACTAATGCGGTGACCCTTTAATACAGTTCCTCATATAGTTGCGACCCTCAACCTTACAATTATTTTCATTACTACTTCATAACTTCTGTGAATATGTGTTTTCTGATGGTCTTTGGCAACCCCTGTGAAAGGGTTGTTTGACCCACAAAAGGGTCACAACCCTTTGAGAACCCCTGCTTTAAAGGCTGGACACAGAAGCAGAAGAACAATTTTCGGCTCTACTGGCAAATCCGGACGAAGAATAAACAGCCTTGGACGACTTAGTCAGAGTTTTCTCCCGTGGCCGCACTCTAAACAGTGATCGGAAAAGCCACAACGAAACAAACGACACAAGCAACATGGCAGTTAGACGCACTCACATAACTAACATCGTTATTCCGACGCACGACTTAGTTGCCACGGACGTAACTCCTGCAGACCTGTATGCCATAATGACAGATAAGTATGCGTGGTTGCGGTGGCTAGCTGAGCATAGTCTGATAAGGAACACGCAGCCGTGTACCTCGTGCACGCGGCCAATGTTCCTATGTCCCCGCACCAACCGCACACTATTGGCGTCATATTTAGCAGAATTTCAGTGGCGCCATGCCCACAAACATCAGATTGTCGGCCACTATTTCGAAACCCTACGTCAAAATTTTAACATCTAACCCTAACCCTACCCCTAACCCTAACCCTACCCCTAATCCTAACCCTACCCCTAACCCTAACCCAACCCCTAACTCTAATCCAACAACCGCATGATGATGACTATACAACCATTCACAATGCCTCACGCAACCGTACGCAGCCCTACACGCAACCGCAGGATGATAGGTAAGTGTGTCGTTTGTTTTGTTTGTTTTCCGATCACTGTTTTGAGTGCGGCCAAGGGAGAGAACTCTGACTAAGTCGTCCAAGGCTGTTTATTCTTCGTCCGGATTTGCCAGTAGAGCCCAATTTTCTAAACATTTCCTTACCTCCTGACCACATTTATGCTATTTGTTTTTAGAACCAGATCTTGAAAGTGTGGAGCTTGATTCCCTAACCTTTATGAGTTTTCATTCATTAGAAGTGCCCAGTGTGGGTGCAGAGGCTCCATTATGGGAAAAACAAGAATAGACCCAGCAGTCATATTGTAGGAGTCAACTAATTTGGGGCTTCCTTTCAAGTCAGAGTGCCTCTGCTCGAGTTGCAAGGAACAACATCTGCACACATAAGCCAGTAAAATGGATATAAATGCAAAACTCAGGCCCGGCACAAAGTCCAAGTGGAGGAAAAACCAGGACTTTTTGCCGGAGCATACAGCTGGTGAACAAAGAAGGAGAAGATCCATTTGAAGTAAACTGAAAGATTATCTTGAATGCAGCATGCCAACTCCTCCTTGTGAAGAATCTTTCTGTCAGACCACTTCAACAAATATTAATTTTTTTATAGTCTATACCATTTTGTGTTGAACATCATATTTGTCTCCATTTGTCATATCTACTCATACCTTAATCATTTCTGATAAAGATGTTCTCCCATTCAATGATGCCATTTCCTCTCTTGGTCTCCCACTACCCTTCTTCCCCTCCAAATTCTTCTTGGAACAACATACTCCAGTTTTCACCTTCTGATGATATGCTCAAATAATTTTGATTGTCTACTTCAACACATCTTCATTACGTTTGTGTTTCTGTTTATTGTGTTTTAATCATATGTATATAGATAAAGATAAATGACCCTTGTGCACAAGTGGCGTATCAGACCAATGATGCTAGACATATTTGTATAGACCAGTCAGCACTAGGTGGGTGATGCTGTTAGCATCATACTCGCTGCCTTTACTTCCCAAAATCCAACCTGTTACCTACTTTAGGCTGGGGTCAACATAAAAGCCAAGATCAGTTTTAAAAAAAAAATCTGACATTGTAATGGGGGATATTTTCATCCAGATTAGGAAGGTTGGGGGGAAGGCCCAAAGCTAACCGAAAACACTGAGATATTCCAGATATTCGGATTAAACGAGAATCTTGAGATAGGTGATGACCATTAGTTATCACGGGTATCACGGCGACGCGACCAAAGGTCGCCACGTGAAAGTAAAGGACCACCACGTGTTGCCACGTGAAACTAACCCGTGGTATAAGTCAGACTTGATTCTGATCAAGTTTAGTTTGTGTCGACCTGTTGAAGCGAGAGGATGTGAGACTGAGTGGAAGAATGTCAACGTAAGAGTGATTGTTGAGAAAGGAGACCCTGACGACAAAGTGTGAAGCCAAGATCGACCATGCCAGTCTGTGAAATGGCCGGAACCTCAACTTGATTCATGGGAGCCGACTTTGGTCAGGGAATGCATGAAGAACCTGCTCGTTGAAGGCTGCTTGAATTGGTGTGCGAGAGCTGTTTACTAGGACAACGACAGGACTCTTCTGTAAGTTATTACATGCCAATAAACTTATGTTCGTACGGCAACGTTGGTGTCGGCACGTACCAGTTATGTAACGTAGAGTGTGTGAGAAAAACATCCACTACACACACATGAACACCACCTAGACAACGAGAGAATATAAACACCACTTATTGCAGACATTATGCCGTTTCGTACCTTAAACCGCTTGCTTGGCAGGCCCTTTTGTCTCATATTAGTGTTAATATTTAAATGTATTGATGGTTCATTTCATGATCTGTAAGTCAGCATTCACTCCGTCAGGTGCTACATTCCTATGTTCAAGTCCTATGGTTTTGAAGTGGTGGCTCTGTGGGCTAGGACACAAGAAGAAGCCAAGCAGATGTCCGACGACCTGGGTATTGAGATTTACACAACAGACGTTGATAAGGTTAGTGTTGGCATGTGAGAAGACATTAGTGAAATCTCTCAAAACCAGTGGTCGACCGAGCTAAAAGTAGGTACCAGAAAATGCCTTCAGAAGAAAACATGCAAAGTGTGATGCTGGCCACATCATAATAGGTCCTGCACCGTGTGACTAATATGCATGTGATATGTAGGGGAGCCTCTACTTCACTTTTTGTTGTTGTTGTTGCTTACAACTGAAAAAATAGAATCTGATGAGCAAAATAATTAATCGGTCTTGGTCTACAACAAAACGAAAACCTTGTTTTGTAAAAAAGAAACATAACTGCTCAAACGATTTAAAGGATATATTGGCACCTTTCCGTCTGTCATGATGATAGTGTTATATTGCGCTGTGAGGCAGCATGGGACTCACAGCCCATGGCGATGGCGAGTGTGACCAGCAAGACCCACCCGTGTTAAGAAAAGTCTTCCATAACTATAGCATGGGATTACATAATCATTGTTGTCAGCATTTGCATTTAGTGTGTTTCTTCTCAGAGGCTCAGCTCTTATCCTTTTCTCAATCATTTCCTCCATTCTTATTCCCTTCCTGCTGTGCCCCCTCCACATAACACAGTCCATGGCATTTTGTTCCCCTGAGTCTACTTCAATACTTGTATCATTCATGCTCTTATTTGCACACATCTTTACACTTGGACGAGTGTATGGGATACAGAGGTGCTGAACCACATGTACTGGTGCACTAGGTCATATCTGGTCACGACCTTTCTATACCTCTCCACTGTCTTTCTAGAAAAAAGCTCCCAACCGAAGGACTGGCCAACATAGCAGGGTTTCCATCAAAATGCACCTGTTTGAGAGGCAATGAACCAACAGTCTGCACACAGATAAGACAGATTTGTAAAGCAGGTGCACCTGCAACACTCAGGTGCTGGAATAGCATCAGAGTCCAGCTGTGAACGAACAAAACCAAGATAAATGTATAATTTATTGTGTGTAGTAGGATTCCAGCCTGTTCAATCGTAATAAAATAAAAGAAGCCAGATTACTTTTGTAAGGTGGCGCGGTGATTTATGTCACAGGCGTGAGGGGAAGTTAAGCCCAACATGATTTGTATAAGGAGATACCCCGTACGTCACTCGGGCGCCAGTCCTTAACTATCCTGGTTGTACGGAACCTCACGCAAGACCCCTACAGCACGTCCTCGTCGTGCGCCACGGATAATGTCTCAAATAAGCATTAACAGAGCTGTCAGGGGATCTCGGAGTTCGGCGGCCCCCAGAGGTGATGTGTCCTTGTGGCTCTCATCAGCCCGCCCCCAAACGCTTGGGTGAAAAATGTTATCAAAACTCATTAGGAACATGAGTAGGTTTGCCAAACGTACAGCCAAAATTACAACCCTTGGTTAAAAGACTGCGGAGTAAAGAGAACATTGTTCACTGCACATCCTCTGTTAACCCTCAGTGTCATCGTCACCGCGCTGAGGTACACCACAACAGCAACCATCCATAGGCTGGCCATCCTTGTACATCCTCGGTTAACCCCCAGTGTCGTCGTCACCGCGCTGGGGTACACCACAACAGCAACCATCCATAGGCTGGCCATTCTTGTACATCCTCGGTTAACCCTCAGTGTCGTCGACACCGCGCTGAGGTACACCACAACAGCAACCATCCTAACTGTCCGACAAAACTAGATCATACGGATCAAAATCTGACCATCAAAATTTGTATTGAACTGAAAAAGACCGAATGTCCACACCCAAAGACCCCACTCGCCCGAGTGTTGGGACAAAACTGATAACGACATGCCTGATGCAGGATGTAAAATTCTGTCGGGCTAACGGCTCGTCAAAGAAATCTAACGTGCGAAGCAAAAAAGAATGTACCTATCTGTATGGTCACAAAAGTCCAAAACCCACGGGCTGCTCCCCGCTGACTTCCAGAGGGCGCAGCACCTGTCGAGAGGGAGGCCTGATACGGTTGTGAGGTTAAGCAGGCATGTGCAGGACGTGACGATTCCTTGGGTGAGCCCAGAACCAGAGCGCCCTGTGCCGGCTCTGCATGCATGGAAGCCTCCTTGGATGGCGGGGAATGCCCATGATCTGCCCCTGCCTTCCCTTGAGGGCTAACTGTTCCACAGGGGGCTGCCCCAAAGGGGTACTCCGAGGGCAATACCTGCGGAGGAGACAAAGTGGACACCACACAAATCAGGCAACGTCTCGACCCACACAAAACAATGGCCACAGTCAACCTAGAAATAGGCCTGACGTCTTCCTTCGAAGTCGGAGTACAGCTGCCCATGAGGCAGGGAAATGAAAAACGGTTGTACACGCAAAAATCAGGTCCAGGTGAAAGCCAAAAGTCCAAGCGGACGATTAACCGGGACCTTCCACTGGAATTCACAGCCGGTGATCGATAAAAAAAAAAAAAAAAAACTGTTGTAAGGTGCAGGCAGCCTTGTAGGAGTTTTGCAATTGGGGTGTCTGGTAGTCTGGTAGTCTTAGTTTCAGCTTCATAGCAACGGGTCGCCCCATCTTTGCTCCGCTCCTGTGCGAACGAAAAACACCCAGAATGTTTATCACAGTCCCTTGTGGAAAGACTGACAGACTGCTGTCTCAGCATATCTAGCATACACTCGCATTAAAGCATACGGTAGCCATCCGAAGTGCTAACACAAACAGTCCAACATTAGAAACGCAGTTCATCATTGATGATAGCAGAACTTGTCGCGAATAGTTCAGCAGTTGTCCACGTGATCAATTTTAAGCAGATACGGGCACCGCTAACATTGCACGCCATTTTCTGAATCTACAATTCACACCACCACGTTGGTCACAGTTGAAAATTCATTCTAAATGCAATCCGCAGCTCACAGGGTCACGCCATGCATTCAACTCAGAAGCTGGGCGACGAAACTATATCCAGTCTACAAATGGAGCAAAAATACTTCGGCCACCGTCCGGCAGAAGCAAAAAATTTGCCTCTGCTTCGAACAGTGCCGCTGTCTAGCGTCCATTTTAACCGGAAGTTGGGGTGTAAAGTGTTGGGCCCTCACATTTACTAGGTCATAACATTTCAGATGCGGTGGCCATTACCCTTCCTCATCTTTCCACTTCTCACAGAATTCTGAAAATTTTCTGGTACTCAGTTTTATGAGACGAGGTGGAACCCAAAAACTATTTGTTGGGATAATAAGGTTAAAGTTAAAAGGTCTGACTTCATTGTTGCAGGTTTTCTCGTATAGTCCAGTCTCTCTCTACAGACTGGCTAACCGAGAGCATCACTCAAAGCACAAACTCCATAGTTCCAGCATTGATACCCAGGGATCTCCATAAAAATTGTGCTTGTGAACTGAGCTACGGGTCTGTTATATGAACCCCCAAGCTTCAGAGATTGTTGTAATGTCCTGTTATGGTTTCATATTCTTACATTTCCCCCCAAACACTTTGCTGAGGTAACTGGAGGAAGAGGAGAGGTGATATTTTCATATTTTTGTTAGGAGTTTTGAACTCAGTATTATAATTCCAACATACTAGGATCTAGTCAACTAAAGACATTTTGACAGCAGACTGCTATGCATTTTGATAATGGTATGAGCATCGACCATCTTCAAAAATAAAAAACAAATTTTTGAGTGTTAAATTTGCCTAGTAAAACCACAAATAGCCAGCAAATGCTATAAGGTGGTTTGTGACGCTCTGTATAGTCTGGCGCTGGACAGAAACAGTATCATCAGTGTCATGCGCAGCTTTCACCACATATGATGAAATGGAAAAGGGTGTATTTCTGTATCTCTGTCTCTCCCGTGTGGATTCCGGGGCCCTATTGAAAGGAAAACAAACAAAAAAAGACCTACTGCCTACCCAAAATCATGTAAGAGTCAAATAGTTTTGAGCTTTCTTTAAAGTCCGAGTGCATCTGCCTGAGAGGCAAGGAACCAACAGTCTACACACAAATGAGTCAGATCTGTCACACGGATGCACACACAAGACTCAGGTTCTAGAACAGGACTGCAGTCCAGAAGTGGACGAACAACTAGAACTTTCCACCAGAATTTACAGCTGGTGAATGCAAACAAAAAGAAGAAGAAGAAGTATCTCTGTCTGTGCTGATGGACAGGGGAGTGCAGTCTGGAGCTGCAAGAAGTTAATACTTCACCAAGGGAACAAGAGGTTTGATTAATCAAAACTGAACAGGAATCATTAGTCATTTCAGTTTGGAAGCTTTTGAGGAGATCAGAACACCTTTGGATCTGTCAGGAATGCTGTGATGATAAACTTTACTTATCACTCTTCCCCGTGTGGGTTCCGCGGCCCTATTATTGGGAAAACATGAATAGGCCCACTGATAACCAAAAAGCATGTCGTAAGAGTCGATTAATTGGGAGCTTCCTTCAAAGTCATAGTGCATCTGTCTGAGAGGCAAGGAACCAGCAGTCTGCATACAAATGAGTCAGATCTGTAAAACAGATTCACACGCAACACTCAGGTTCTGGAACAGGACTGCAATCCAGAAGTGGAGGTACAATCAGAACTTTCCGCCAGTTTACAGCTGGGGAATATGAAGAAGAAGAAGACTTATCACTCTGTATAGTATTATAGGCAACTGACTTGTTATGTTTTGATTGTTTAGGTTTTACTTCACAAAGATGTGGACCTGGTGGTGATCAGCTGTTCCCCACACCTGCAAGCTCACATTGCTTCCAAGGCCTTGGGCATCGGGAAACACGTCCTATGTAGTCCTCCTGCTGGGCCGCACAGTCGGGGAACACTTCCCATGGTGCACTCATCTAGATACTATCCTCGGCTGATGTCTTTGATGTGCAATGGGCTTCGTTTTCTCCCTTCAGTTATTAAAATGAGACAGCTGATCAAAGATGGCTTTATTGGCGAAGTCACCATTTGCGAAGCCAAGATGCATTACGGGCACAGGCTGAGCCATACGTTTGACTGGATGTGTGATGAAATGATGGGCGGTGGCGTGTTGAATATGTATGGTGCCATGGTCATAGATATTCTGAGTCACGTGACAGGACAGCGTGCGACCAGGGTTCAGGGAATTCTGAAGACTTACACCAAGCAAACTGAGCATATCCGGGGAATTCGAGAGATCACAAGTGATGACTTCTGCTCGTTTCAGATGGAACTAGATGGTGGGGCTTGTGCAACAGTGACGCTCAATGGACACATGCATGGGCAGTTTGTTCAGGAGATCATCATAGTGGGTTCTAAAGGTCGGCTAGCTCTCAGATCAGCAGATCTGTACGGCCAGAGGCACGATCGGGTTAAAGAAGATTTACTTCATTTTGATCCGGTGAACTACAAAGATTTAGAATCACTTGGTATCCATGAAAAAGTCCGAGGAGAAATTCCTATTCCTTACATGAAAGGTGTTATCAAAATGGTGGAATGTGTACGGGACGCTTTCCAGCAAGTAGAAGAAAGGCAAGGTTGGACCCCTGAACCTGTAGACATGGCTGCAACATTTGAAGATTGTTTTTATGTTCAGACTGTGGTAGACGCCGTCAGATCTGCCAGCAAGTCTCGTCAGTCAGTCAAGGTGGTTATGACAGATGCAGAGCCCGAGTCCAACCCTTTTCTCTCCACAGCGATGAGGAGAAGTACATTCTCTCTCCATTAACAACACACATTCTCTGTCCATGGACACCACACATTCTCTGTCCATTGACACCACACATTCTCTGTCCATGGACACCACACATTCTCTCTCCATCTTCTTCTTCTCTTCCACCATTTACCTAATCGAGGTAAAAGGGGGGGGGGGATGTGCTTTTTTCAATGCGTTGTACAAGTATGTGTTCATTTTTTTAGATAGCTCCTGATGATGTTGCTCCATCTCTTGCGTGGTCTTCCCCTTGCTCTGTGTTGATTATATTTCTTCTCAGTTTTTTTCGGTGGCAGTTGATACCACAGCATTCTCGTCAGGTGGCCAAACCATCTCATTTGTTGTTGTTTAATGAATTTTATGACCGGTTTCATTCCTAGTCTTCTTCTTATTTCTTCATTCTTGATTGTATCTCTTCTTGTCACACAGGCAGCTCTCCTAAGACATCTCTGTTGTGACGATCTTCCACTCATTAGTTGTAGTAAGGTTTGAACTTAGTTTGCACTCTCACATCTCCTAAAATAGTTGTCCAAGTCAAAGAAATTCATATCTGATCTTCAGAGTACTCCTTGGACTTTTGCTTCAGTGTTTGCCCTTAAGATGACATATGTTTGTGGTTTACAGCTAGGCCTGGGATATTTGCCCATCAGCCCAACACAACTGATTTCAGCAAACTCTTAATTAGTTCCTTTTTATAATATGCTTGATAGGGGGTGTTTCTCTTCCTTACACCCTCTTTCCACGTAAGGACTCTTTGGAGTGTCAAAATGAGTAATTCAGATGAGTGCCGCGATTGCCAACGCCAGTCAACAAGGCACTTGATGATGATGTGTAGTTTTATTGCTAGGGTCCAACTTTGTGTTGTTACCTGTTGCTAATTGTTATTATTTCTTTAACATTTGTTGTTATATTATTGTACACTGTGGGTAAAATTGTAATGGTTTTTCTTTAAATAAGAAATAATTATATCATGTTTTTTAAACACAATATTTTAAAATGTAAACTGTTGGAACAAATGAATGTAGATTGTTGACTGATTGATTGGCTGGTTATTGATTTATCACATTATCAATCGTTGATTGTTTCACTGATTTATCAACTCTTTAATTAGCTGGTTGGTTGATAGATTGACTCACTGTTTTACTGATTGATTGATTGACAGATTAGTTTATTGATTTATGTTGGTTGATTGACTAACAAATTGATTAGTATGTGGTTTGCATGACTTCTTCTTCAGCATTCCAAGCCCTTGAGGTTCATTGCTGCAGATATCACCTGCCTTCATTTATCTCTCTGGTTGGTCTTCTATTTTTAGTTGGCGACACTACGTTTTTGCAGGTCTGTCTGGATATTATCTCTCCATTGTCTTCTTGGTCTGCCTCGTGGTCTACGACCATTCATCTCTCTTGTGTGTACAGTTTTTTACTTCCCTTTCATCTGACATTCTTTCAATATGCCCCAACCATTTCAGTCTTTTAGCTCTCATAATGCCAGTGATCAATGAAGGTGTGCATTACTGATTGATTAAATGATCTGATTAGTTGATTTGACGATGGAGAGATAATGTCCAGACAGACCTGCAAACACTTGGATGGAGGCCTGTGATATCTGCAGCAATGAACCTTAGGGACTTGGAATGCTGAAGAAGAAGATTAGTTGATTCATTGATTCAATACCATTGGCTTGTTAGGCATATGATGCTAGCCTCATTACTGTCTTTATCTACTAAAAGGCTGCGTCATTTGAATATATTATTTTCATCCTGTGATCGTGCACACAGCTCATTTGGCTCAAGATGAAGTAATAATGCTCTGATATTGTTTGTTTGTTTTAGTATCCAGAAGCCATGAGTTGTTAACCCTTAGGCTCGGTATTGTGGATATCGCAACCTTTCGGCCTTGATTCCATTGTAAATACCATAAATCTGGGAGAAATGTGGCTTTTCTGCCTACCCCCGTGAGTGAACCCGGACCACAAGGAGTTTATCACCTGGTCACGGCACAATCCGGTTTAGCCAACTACGCCAGAGAGTCGGGCCTCTGATATTGTAAGAGCTGCTTGTCAGTTTTCTATTGAGAATTATAAAATATCTATTGTGATCCGTTTTTAGAATTTGTTCAGGTTGCAGCAAATATTTAACCTGTCATATTTGCTTGCAGTATAAAATCTGTACCCTTTTTTGTTTGAAGTCTACAGTCTGTATTGTATTTTGTTACGGAGTATACAATCTAAACCGTTTTTTTTTCTGGGAGTATAAATTTGATACCCTTTATTGTTTGGAGAATAAAATTTATACGAGGGGGGGGGGGGGGGGGGGGGGGCTAGTATAAAATCTACACTAATTTTTGTGTGTATCCTCTTCTTCCCATCTGAAGATGTTATGCCTGTTTACATCATGGCTGCAATATTTACTCCTTTAGGCCGCCACATCCAGGTTGTTTTTTCACCCGCTGCAGAAGACAGGGTTACTTCTCACAGTACAGAATCAGCAGGCTCAAGTCCTCCTTTGAAAGCGTTCTTCTTCTTCTTCTCTTCCACCATTTACCTCAGCAAAGTGTTGTGCGCTTTTACCATTGCATTGTACAAGTTGGTGTTCATTTCTGTTGGGTTGCTCCTGATGATGTCGCTCCATCTCTTGCGTGGTCTTCCCCTTGCTCTATGTTCATTATATTTCTTCAGCTGGGCTCTCTGTGGCAGTTGGTACGAGGGCATTCTCGTCAGGTGGCCAAACCATCTCATTTGTTGTTCTTTAATATTTGTATGACTGTTTTTTTAGTCCTAGTCTTCTTCTGATCCATTTAAAAGTTAGCTAAGTGCCGTCAGGTAACGCTGAGAGTTCTCATCTCTACAATTTGCACCCTGGATTTCGCCTCAAATTTTGGGGCCAAAATATTGGCGAGCCTGACCTATCGTATCTTGAAAAGCTTGTATCCAGGTACACTCGTATTCTGAAGTTCCTCTGTATTTGGAACAAACAATGCTGCAGAAGTAGCTGGATCAGAAGACAGGCACTGTGTCTGTCCACTTTTATTCCTTCGTGGTATCACGGAAAAGCGAAGATAATCTCACAACAGATACAGTTTTTGGGATGTGAAGTGTTAGACCTAGAGACTTTTTCTGGCTGCATACAGCACCGTCACCCTCTTTGTAACTTCAGGTTTTTCAGCGCTACCGTAATAGACACTTTGAGTTCAGTACTGGCACCTTTTTGTCCAGAAGAAATGCCCTAGGTTAGACCCTTCACAGGATATTTTCATTGGCATTACGCAGAGTCACTGAATTGCAGTTTTGGCACATTTCACCTCAGTGCATTTTAAGTATATGTTGTTCATTTCAACAATATGCTACACCAGAAGCACACATTAATTCCTACTTCAGGTTTTTTTTTTTTAAATTGTTTTTTCCTATGTGGGTTCCAGAGCCCATTTTGGGAGGGATCTTCTTCTTATTCTTCTTCACTTCCTCTTTTACCGCTGTGGGTGTCGAGGGAGATATAAGGTTCTGTTTCTAGCTCTTCTGGCCGCCTCGACCATAGGCACATCGTGCTGTTGTAGAGTTTCTCTGATATTATCCTTCCATCTTGTTCTTGGTCTACCTTGTGCTCTACGTCCTTCTTCTCTTTCCATGTATGCTTTGTATGGTATGGTGTTACAAGGCATTCTCTCTAAGTGGGCTAACCATTTCACTTGCTGTCTTCGTATGTAATCCAGAATTGGTTCTGTGCTGACTTTTTCTCTTATGATCTCATTCCTGATCTTATCTCTTATGGTCACTCTTACAGCCCTTCTCAGACATCTCATTTCCATGGTTACTAATTTTCTTTTATGGTTTGTTGTGAGTGACCATGTCTGGCACTGGTAGCACAGAGTTGGAATAAATATGCTTTGAATAAGATGTCTCTTTGTGCTGATTGGGATTGTCTTATGCTGTAAGAGGGGGGCTAGCTGTCCCAATACTTGGTTTGCTTTACTGCATCTGATGTTAATTTCTTTATCCAATTTTCCATCTTCGGTAAATGTAGTTCCCAGATATTTAAACTCAGATGCCTGTTTAATGCTTTTGCACTCTATTGCTATGTTTAGATCTGTCTTCTTTTTTCCTATTGACATTACTTCTGTCTTTTCAGTGTTGATTCTCATATTATTTGTTTTACATTCTTCATTCATAGATGTTAGATGTTGTTGTATTCATGGCTGTATCTGCTATCAAGGCCTGGTCATCTGCAAAGAGTAATTCGTTGATCTTACTAACATTTTCATTCATGGGCTTGGCATTCTTGCATATACTGTCAGTGTAGGTGATAAACAGCAGTGGTGATAAGACACACCCCTGTCTTACTCCAGATGTCACTGTGAATGGATGAGATGTTCCCTGATTTATTCTAACTACACTTCTACAATCCCTGTATAAACTTTTGCACACTTCGGTGAGGTGTTCGATTACTCCATATCTTGCCATTACTTCCATAATAATTGTCTGTCGACTCTGTCAGATGCCTTCTCCTGGTCTACGAATGCCACAAAAAAGTTCTTATTGTATTCAATGTTCTTTTCTATTAACTGTTTAAGTGTGAAGATTGCATCTGTGCAGCTTCTATTTCTCCTATATCCCATCTGTTCTTTTGCCAGCTGTGGTTCTATCACTGGTCTCAGTCTTGTTTCTATTATTTTGGCATACATTTTGCCAACATGGCTTAAAAGAGAGATGCCTCGGTATTGACCGCATTCTCGTTTGCTTCCTTTGTTCTTCCACAATGGTATAACTATTGCATGTTGCCAATCAATAGGGGCAGTTTGTTGTACCCATGCTGCATTAAATATTCGGCTCTTCTTTCAATACAGGCCGGTAGCTGGAAAGCCGCCGATCGGCTTAGTGAGAGTTCTCTCCCTTGGCTGCATTGCAAACACGGAGCGGAAAAGTCACGAATAAAATGACATACTTACCTATCATTATACGGTTGCGTAGTCATCATACGGTGGCGTATGGGTTTGGGTTAGGGATAGGGTTAGGGTGTG